TCGGCTCCAAGCGGGGTTAGTTCGATAACACCGTCGAGCTCGTCATTCAAGCCTTTGAGACAGCATTCTGCTGCTGCCCGGGGGGGGAAGGCTTTGGGAGGCTTGGAAATCCAGCCAATCACCGAAGAGTGGGATCAAGCTGTGACATCGTCCGTTATTGTAAGGTTCTCGGACTTATCATCCCGTATTTGCTTACAAACTGTTTATTTACTCGTTCTTTTCTTTCCCGAGCCCTCTTCATCATTTGCCCTTCTTGCACGCGCCAACACGGGTGAGTTCTGGATAAATTCAGAATGCTCGGGAGTGCTGGGATGAATCCCGACACTTGCATTGGAGCATGATGTCAGTGCAGAGCACCGAGGAGGGGCAATGAGGGGTAGATTTGGGTCAGCAGAACTCTGACAGACGTTTCTCTATACAGCACTTGGAGGTATCCACAATTGTAGGAATGCTAGAAGACTTCTGTGAGAAGTACCACTTTACAGGTCAAGGGTTTTGACGTAATTCTCAGTCATTCTCTTACAATGTTGCTTAACGTTGCCAAGGCCTCAGAGGTCAAACCTAGAAGAGATAACTTTTCAACTACAATGTTTATTACAGCGCTTACACAATATTGTAACCTTATTTGGCAAGTACAATACTTATTCTACTTCAACGAATAGGTAGTTGACTTTACCGATCCTTGGTCACATGCAACATTCTCGATATGGAAGTTCCAAAATAGAGACCTTGCAACTCTCTCATTCATTCTTAAAAAGTCAAGATATTCCTAGTTTGTGATTTTCTAGAGTTCCGATTCTATTTTCCTTCTCCACCCCGCTCGCTATTTTGGGGGCCGATTCGATGGATTCAGGGTGACAGCTAAGCATTATCCGATAGGCCAGAACACCCCTTGACGGCCTAAAAAGCGCGTCCCGCGCCCAGAACCTGGAACTTCAATAGTCTCGCAACTCCACTGAAACATGAAATGTATTTCTCGACATCTCGTGGCAAAGCTCTTCATGTCTCCAGTCCCTGGTTTCTCTTGTTCACTCTATGACTGCTAGAGAAATAGTTCACCCTGTCAAACGCCTTCATCCCATCTCATCAAAATGGCACTCTTTCACATTCTCCACGAGCTAGGCCTGCACTCTCTCCACAACTCGCCCCGGGACACTAAGATCTTGATCCTGCAACGGTTCATCCGATTCTTTGCTTTCGGCGGCTCGACAATCGTGCTAGCTCTATACCTCCATGCCATCTCCATCTCCGACACGCATATCGGGCTCTTCATGTCCCTGACGCTCGTCGGAGATGTAATCAGTTTCGCGCTCACGTTACTTGCTGATGGAGTCGGGCGGAAGATAATTCTTGGAGCTGGAGCTCTGTTGATGATGGTGAGCGGAGTGGTGTTCGCTTTCACAGGAAACTTCTGGTGCCTACTTGCTGCAAGTGTCTTTGGGGTGATCAGTCCCAAGTATGTCGCTCCTTTTATCTGATCTTTGCGTTCGTCTAAACTAATCGGTTGATAACCGCAGCGGGAGGGAAATTGGCCCTTTCAGTGCCATTGAAGAGTCGACCCTAGCTCATCTTACCAAGCCGGAGATCAGAAGTGATATCTTTGCTTGGTACGTTGTCATTGGCTCCGGGGGCAATGCTCTTGGCAAACTTGCGACCGGCTGGGTGGTGCAAGAATTACAGCGGTGGGAGGGGTGGAGTCCGGTGCGATCTTATCGGACAGTATTCATGGCCTATGCTGGACTTGGTTTCTTGAATATGCTGTTGACCTCTGCACTGAGTTCGAGGGTCGAACTTCATGGGCATGAAGAGCATAAGGATTCAGACGGCGAGCATCAGCCACTTATTTCAAGGAGTGACTCTGATTCAAACCAAGAAGTGACTATGGCGAAGGAGAAAAGATCATTATTGCCAAAGATCAGCAAGCAGAGTCGAATTGTTCTGCTCAAGCTTTGCATGTTATTTGCTCTAGATTCTCTAGCATCTGGTCTTGTACCTGCGTAAGTCACTTTTTCTTATATACTTGCACAACATTTGCTGATCTTAAACTAGTTCCTTGGTCACCTACTTCTTCAACCTCAAATTCAAGCTACATGAAGGCGACCTAGGAACACTCTTCTTTGTGGCCGCTATTCTGTCCTCGGTCTCGTCTCTAGTGGCTGTCTCGCTCTCTAGAAGAATTGGACTCATCAAAACCATGGTCTTCACACATCTTCCATCTGCTCTGGCTCTTTGCCTCATTCCAGTACCCTCGTCCCTACCTGGAGCCATTTTCTTTTTGCTTCTACGCTCCTCACTGGCTTCTATGGACATCGCACCTAAAGCCGCTTTCCTTTCGGTGGTGGTCATGCCTGGCGAAAGAACAGCTGTGATGGGCTTCATATCAGTTGTTAGAACCTTCAGTCAGAGCTTCGGTCCTGTCATAACCGGGGTACTGGCTCAATCCGGGAGATTCTGGGTGACTTTCGTTGTTGCTGGAAGTTTGAAGGCTACTTACGACCTGGGACTTCTAACCGGGTTTAGAGGACACAAAACAGAAATGGATAGAGCTGAAAGACGAGCGAGCAGAAACAGTGGGGAGGTTGACGCATAGGCTGCACATTTGAGCGCATCCGCCAAAGGTGGGGGATAGCAACCATACCTTCAGGCTCTGGGCAAAGTCTCTCGACTTCCAGAGGCTTGCAGCCCTCGGGTTATCTTATCTCCACGCCAAAGAGATCAGGATTCTGAGTCACATCTAGCCAACTGGAGTCCTTGCACGCTTGTTTCAGATATGTCGTGATAGCGGACAATAACTTGACACGCAGACATGCATATGCACCTCGCTACGAAGACGCCGTCTTTCCGCCAAAATTCACGAGACAGCCTACTTATGCCAACGAGTTTCCCCTCCTTAGACCTTTGGACTTCCTGATCTTACAATTTGGGTCCTCTCAAGGACCTCGCTCGTCTTGATTCCAACATCTTTACCTTTCCAGACAAAGTCAAATCGAACCTCCCCGCTCGCAATCATGAATCCTGAGAAGGACTGGAAAGAGGAACTCGACAGTTTCGGGGAGCGTTTGAAGGCGAGAAAGGCAGCGGAGAAATATGCTCCATGGCATCCGAGGAATATGATACTTCATCCTACTCGAACATGGCGCCTTGCGTTTGGTATTGTTGGTGACAGTGAGCTGGAGTTGTGTTTGGCGCACATGGATTCGGGCACTGCCGGGTCGAAGGATAAGCCGAGACCAAAGCCGAAGCGGAACTAAGATGTGATGGCTTGGGGGATTCAACGGAATCCAGATTGTAGAAGGCTCAAGGGCCAGTGATTGAGAGAGCTGAGAGGAACTTGTTTGCAGATTGTCAGGAAGATCTTCAATAATTCTACTTACTAAATCAAGCGGATCAGTCCTCGAAAGTCATCTCATGCTATGAAACGGTGTGTGCAAAAAGTTAGACCATTTTGAAAATTATCCTTCAAAACTTGTGATCTTGAGATTTATTAAAAAGACAATACATATTGACTGCGCTAAGACCTGGTATCCCAACCTCGAAGGTCAATCATTGTACGGTACCCCTGAGCTCTTCAGTTCTCCAGAGGAGACGCTCTTTCACGTGGTACAGACGAGAATCCTGGGGAAGGCGCGATGCCCTGTCAGGTAAGCGTAAATTAACCCCCGCATCTTGTCTCGGTTTTCGAGGCTGGACCGCATCGTCTTCTGTCCTCTATGCCGCAGTACATTTTTGCTTCTGTGTTGTGTGACTATGAACCTTCTTGAAGATCAAGTTGAAGATCTTAATTACCTCGCCGATACCCCGATAGCTTCAATCTCTCCTATAGCTCTGTCCGGCAGCATGAACGGTCAGCGACAGTCCTCAAGTGCGGAGAGTCCCGCGGACACAGGGCCTGGTAGCGGAAAGAAGAGGAAAAACGACGGAACTGATGCCAACGGAAGCACGCATACAAGAGCAAAGAGAAACAGATACATCTCTATCGCATGGTATATCTGCCAATTGACTAAATGTCCCAAACTGACTCCGAATCCAGCAACGAATGCAAGCGGCGCAAGATCAAATGCAATGGCAATACTCCATGCCAAAGATGCGGAAACCTCAACCTCGAATGCCAATATGCCCCGAATTGCTGCTCGAATGGATTCAAAGAGTCCGAAGAATTCAGGCAGATGAATGCGCATCTTGCTTCCCTCCAGGAACAAGTTGACAATTTATACGCGAACCTCAATGCTTTGCGCGGTACTGGTGCAGATGCTATGAGTTATGTTCCTCCTTCCGAGGCCTCTATGGCTGCCTCTCAACCGATGTCCCCAACGAACAGATTCCGGCCTACTTCTAAGCATCCGTCATACCAAGGGCCGACTAGCTCAGCCTTCAGTCTCAATATTGCCAAGAATACACTGCAAAATATGGGATATCAAACTCTCGGGGATGAAGGAATCACAACACAGGATGCAACACCAATTGCTTCTCCGCGCAGTATGCAGCCACCAACTACTGCCATCCTCAGTGGTCGCCCAGATCGTGATCCCATATGGACATTGAGCAAAGAAGAAGTGGTTCGGCTATGCCGTGTATACGAAGAAGAAATGGGGCTCATGTACCCCATAATAAACATTGAACAGGTTATCATCCATGGAACAAACCTTTACGCATTTATTGGTGCAGCCCTCCAAACTGGACTGGCCAATCCGGACGGTCCTGGAAAAGGAGTCCAAGACGAGCAATCACTCGTGCTAAAGATGGTGCTAGCTTGTGCTACAGTGGTTGAGGGAAACGGTCAGAGCGAGATAGGTTACCGCCTGTTTGAAAGTGTGAGAGAAGCTGCAGACAGGATTTTGCATAGTGAGGCGATTGAGGTAAAAAATCTGCCATTGCTTGTGCTTGTGGTAGGTCAAAGTTCATACATCTGCTCGAACACTCGAATTTTGTCAAACATTATTAGAATCCTGAACCACAAAAACAAATTTCGTTGACCCTTGTAGAGGCAACGCAATTTGATATGCCCATGTCCAGATTTGAACTGGAGTCTCCCAAACAACCCACGATAGTTAGTCGTGTTGAAATGGCAATGGGTATCATAACCGCTAGACCACAAAGGCTTTTGTTTTTGCAGAAAACTCATTATTTGAGTACATAAACCGTTTCAGGAAAAACAGTCATTGTTTGGACGTCCAAAACGGGAGCGGCGTTGATTTCGAAAGGGATTTGAAGGATTCCCACAGGATTCAAGCAAGGATGTATCCTTTCAGCTTTGGTGATGTCCTTTAATGGCAATTTGCATATTTTCAATGCCGTTGCTGTGCATTATGTTCATAATTACTTTTCTCGATTTGAAAGTACCTTATGCTAATAAAGATTTATAGTCAATGTACCATTTCCATTGCGATGAAGAAGCACTGGCATGGCGGATCATAGGTAAGCCTTATTCCGCCTTGAAAATGCTATGCCCGCGTGATGGGCTATCTCTAGCACTTTGGATGACAGAAACTAATTCGTTATTTATTAGGTCAAACTGCAAGGATGTGCATTGAGCTTGGCTTGCATCGACGAGATTCGCTATATAAAGTGGTGACTGATGAGGAGGAGCGTTTCAGCGCCATCAAGCTATTCTGGTCAATATACGTACTTGACAGGAGATGGAGCTTTGGCACAGGAATGCCTTTCGCTTTGCAAGACACTGACATTGATCCGAACTTACCTGAGCCAGTGAGTATTTGAAACTACACTTTAATGCCTCTAGATACTAATGTTTGGGCAGGACCTGGACATTCCCTACCTCAACGTGATGATCTCCTACAGCAGAATTGGATCCAAAGTCTGGAAATCTGTCTGCTCCTTCTCGCCACTACCAAGCCCAACCCTCAATCCGGACGAGATTGACTACCTCGACTACCAGATTCTTCAATGGCAGAAAACCATCCCCGCAGAACTTCAACTTCCGACAGCTTCAGCACCTCAAAACTCATCGCGAGCCATACACCGACTGCAAATACTTCTCTACTTACGGGCCAATCAGATGCGTATTCTAATCTACCGCCCAGTTCTTCACAGCGCATCCTCAATACAAGAGTATCCACGCTACGCCAGCACAGTGGTTGAGCTCGCCAAAGATACCGTCCGAGCCCTCACGCACCTTAATCAAACATCCGACATCTACCGCGCCCAACAAGTCTGCTTCAACTACTTCCTCATCTCCGCCCTTGCAGTCATCTTCCTAGCTAGCTGCCATGCACCTGTGCACTTCAGCTCCATCTGTCGCGATGAGTTCTACATGGCACTCGACCTCGTGAAAGGCTTCAGCACGAAATCCTTCGTCAGCAAACGCCTGTGGAAGACCATCAAGGGCCTGAAGGAAGTTGGTCCGAAACTCGGCCTCTCTCCTGACGTGGTCGGTAACGGCCACACCATGAGTGCCGAGGACCCGCACTCTTCCGCTGCTCTGGCCATGGCCGGTCTAGCTGGGCATGAGATTTCCGGACTCGGTAGTGCGTTTGGACAGGATGGTATGAATGTTTTGGGGACGGGGAATAGTCCTATGAATGGATTTCAAATGAGTCACGAGATGGCGAATCTTTTTGAGGCGGCGTTAGGAAGTGTTGGTCAGGGGACGAACGGAACGAACGGGAGCACCTCCTATGTTCAGATTCCGGATGGTGATGCGTTGGCGGGCATTGGTAGCAATGTGTTTGGAGGCGATGAGGAATTTTATAGGCAGATGAGGGATCTATTCTGATGTATTTTTGCATAGAGTCGAGGAGTTGTCATTGGACACGTATGAAGTCGATGTTAGACCACAAGCAAGTGAGCTTCATTATGAGCTATGCACCGCTATGAAGAAGCACGCTGTGAAGAAAAAGTAAACAACTACTTTTACACGTTATGGAAACACAATCGCACTTTCAATCGTGCCCACACACTCTCCAAATCCTACTAGAGCCCCAGGCTCACCACCACATACTCCGCGGATAGTAATCGTATCACCATCCTTCAAGAACTTCCTTACATCCATCCCTGCTAACATGATCTCCTTCTTGCCGCCGGAACTCATCTCCAACAAACTCCCCAATCCGCTATCATCTTTACTACTAATAGTCCCACTCCCCAGTAAATCACCGGGCTGCATCGCACACCCACCAACCGAGTGATGCGCAATCATCTGCGGAAAACTCCACACCAGATTCTTCCCACTCCCCCTCGAAATCGTCGTCGTCGCCCCATCCGGCGTCGTCAAGTCCACCTCTAGCTGAATATCATACACCGTATCCTCTCTCCCCTCCACCAAATACGGCAAAAGCTCCGTCTCATTCGGCAGTTTCGGGGCTCGGTAAGGTTGTATGGCGTCGAAGAGGACGACCCAGGCGGAGATCGTGGTCCCGAAATTCTTGCCGTTGAACGGGCCCAAGGGCACGTATTCCCAGGCTTGGATATCACGTGCGGACCAGTCGTTCATGAGCACGAAGCCGAATATTGACTTTTCGGCGTCTTTTATGGGGACGGGGTCGCCCATGGGGTTACTCTTGCAGAGGAGGCAGCCGAGCTCAAGCTCGATGTCTAGACGGCGAGAGGGACCGAATGTGGGGATTTTGGGGTCGGACGTGGGATCGAGGAGGAGTTGGCCGTTGGGACGGCGGATGGGCGTTCCTGATACTACGACGGTTGAGGCTCGGCCGTGGTAGCCGATGGGGATGTGGTAGTAGTTTGGCTGTAGTGCGTTTGCTGGGCCGCGGAAGAGACTGCCTGCGTTGAAGGCGTGGTTTACGCCTGCGTAGAAATCGGTGTAGTCGCCGATTTGCATTGGCAGATGGGTTTTCGTCTCGTGTTTTGGGAGGAGAGCGGATTTTTGCAGGGAGAGGTTGTCTTTTAGGATTTGGGGGTGGGATGTGTTTTCTGAGAGAAGTTCTTGGAGGTAGGCGCGGACTTCACGGTGGATAGGTTGGCCTAGAGCGGCGAAGGCATTGAGTGTTGGTTGGGAGAAAACTGAGAGGTGGGAATGTACGGAGGGGAGCGCTGAGAAGCCGTCTCCTGAGGCGAAGGCTTGAAGGTCGAGAACATGATCGCCGATAGCTACGGCTGGTCTCTTCTCGGTTTGTGAGTTTTTGGAGGTGATGGTTCCAAATGGGATGTTGGAAAGGGAGAAATGGCTGTCTTGAGGGATCGAGAGCCAGGATTTGAGAGGCGCCATCGTGAAAGCTCTGATTGTAATGGTGAAGGATATTTTTCTTGGGCGAAGCTTGAAAGAAGGACGAGAGAGTGTACGGAGCATGTAGAAGTGGTGTTTTCTGAGTTAGACGGAAATTCTGAAGCTACAGTATCAAGAAGCTCCAGGAACGGCAAAGCCAGGGGGTGGGAAAAGGCGGGGCAAGCAAGGAGGGGTTGGTGCGGCCCAATTCCGCACCCAGCCCCTGTCGACAGGTTGCAATCAATGGGCCACTTCTTCCAACATTGATCGCCTCTGCACACGCCCTCATAAACCAAATCGATCCACGCAGGTGCGGAATGGGGACGCCATATAGTGTCTTTCTGGGGAACCCGAGATCTGCATACCAATCAGAGTAGGCTAAAGTTTGTAAAGGCTATTCACCGGACTGAGGGGTTCGCGAGTCGCGGAGTATGTGCCATGATGATACCTAGTGGTAGACTTTTACTTGTGTAACTTCTTCAATCTCTTCCCTATATCAAGTTGGATACTTTTTCTTTTTCTCTGTAAACCATCCTCACTGCAACAATGTCTTACCAAACTATCGGCATCGCCCTGATCGCGGCCATCTTCTTCATCATCCGTTACCTCAATCGAACAGACACTCCGAAGGTCAAGAACCTGCCCGAGATACCCGGTATCCCCCTCTTTGGGAATCTTCTACAGTTCGGCAGCAACCATGCGAAGGTAGCTGGGGAATTGGCAAAGAAGTATGGACCAGTATTTCAAGTCCGACTTGGAAACAGGGTACGTCTCCATGCAGCGGAAGGTCCAGTGACACACTGACGGAGAACAGCGGATCATATTTGCAAACACTTTCGACTCCGTTCGTCATCTGTGGATTACCAACCAGTCAGCACTGATCTCGCGGCCAACATTGCACACCTTTCATACAGTGGTCTCTAGCTCCCAGGGCTTTACCATTGGAACCTCACCCTGGGATGAGAGCTGCAAGCAGCGTAGAAAAGCTGCTGCTACGGCCCTCAATCGGCCTTCAGTTCAAACTTACATGCCAATCATCGACTTAGAGTCCAATGTCTCGATCAAAGAACTTTTGGAAGACAGCGGAAATGGTACGAGGGACATTGACCCAATTGCATATTTCCAGCGATTTGCATTGAACACCTCGTTGACGCTGAATTATGGATCCCGAATCGATGGAAAGGTCGATAATGAGCTGCTGAAGGAAATCTGTGATGTCGAGCGTGCCATCAGTAACTTCAGATCTACGAGCAACAACTGGCAAGATTATATTCCGTTGATGAGGTTGCTACCTACTCGTAAAGCCAGTGATGGAGCTGTGGAGTACCGTGAACGAAGAGACAAGTACCTCACATTCTTATTGAACAAGCTCAAGAAGGAAATCGAAGAAGGAACAGACAAGCCATGCATTACTGGGAATATCTTGAAAGATCCAGAGGCAAAGTTGAACGAGAGTGAGTTTTCTGCATGCACGATCGAGCCATGATGCTAACTCTATTAGATGAAATCAAGTCCATCTGCTTAACTATGGTATCAGCCGGTCTCGACACAGTTCCTGGCAACCTCATCATGGGCATCGCCTACCTGTCCTCTCCCCACGGCCAAGAAATCCAGAAACGAGCGAACGAAGAAATCATGAAAGTCTATCCCGCCGGAGACGCCTGGGAGCGCTGTCTAGTCGAAGAAAAAGTCCCCTACGTAACAGCATTCGTGCGAGAAGTCCTCCGATTCTTCACCGTGATCCCCATCTGCCTGCCACGAACCAGCATCAAAGACATCAAGTACGAAGACGCCGTCATCCCCGCCGGCACCACCTTCTACATGAACGCCTGGGCCGCCGACTTCGACGAATCGCATTTCAAAGATGCTAAATCCTTCGTCATCGAACGATACCTTGAGAACCCTGAAGGCTCAGGCACC